TCCCCCCCCCCCCCCCCCCCCCCCCCAGCGACAGTTTAATGACTCTCAGGGGCTGGTCTCGTGGCTCAGTCTGTAATCCCATCACTTTGGGAGGCTGAGACGAGTGGATTGCTCTGAGTTCGTGGGTTCGAGACCAGCCCGGGCAACTTGGCGAGGCCTCGTCTCTACAATAAAATCAAAAATTAGCTAGATGTGGTAGCGTGCATCTCTAGTTCCAGCTACTTGGAAGACTGAGGAGGAAGGATCTCCGGAGCCCAGCAGGTCGACTGGGGTGGCCATAAGCATGCCACTGCACTCCAGCCCCGGTGACAGAGTGAGACTCCAACTCAAATCAATAAGTAAATAAATGAACAAACATAAATACTGCAAGCTCTTACTCTAAGCCATTTGTAATACCAAGAACTTTATGTAATAAACAGATGCAGGCAGTAGTCATCTACTAACAAACTGGTTTTTCATTTGCTAAAAGCCCCTTGACATTTACATGTTGACAAAGATTCTCCCCTGATCAAACTCTACTCGTTCTTCCCTGAAACCTTTTCAATTAGGCCTGACTTTTGTACATCTGTATTCATTTCTACACCATTCAGTTTTATCAAGAATCCTATGAAGTAAGTTTAGCCAGAATCCCCTATGCTTCCCCTTTAATATCTGACCAAATTCCCCATCTCCCATCATCTTCCGAGTAATGTCTAATCACCCTGTCCTGCCTTCAGCAAGAATTCTGTTAAGTCATTTAGCCAGAATCTCTCCTTGCGCTTGATGGTTCCTCTTAGTATTCATCCAGTAACCCACCACGCTACTTCTTAGCTATAAATTCCTACTTGCCTCTGCTGTATTGAGAGTTGAGCCCAATCATTCTCTCCCACTGCAAAACCCCATTGCAGTGGTCCCTATACCTGGTGCCATGGACCCTCTTTAATAAAGTCTTCTTTACCATGCTTTAACAAGTGTCACAAATAATTTTTCCTCAATAGTGTCTGATTTCTTTTCATCTATTATTTCTTCCCTGGGCCGACATAACTAGGAAGTAAACTTCAAATAATGCTTAAAAGAAGTCTATACTACTTCTTGGTCTAAGAACTTTGTTTCTAAATGAACTCAGTTTTATCTCAGAGAAGTGCTATCCTTCCTCTAGCTCTAGAATCAAAATTATTTTAGTAGTCTGAATAATGGCCATCGGATATCAGGTCATTCCTGGAACCTGTAAATATTAACTTTAGGCCAGGTGTGGTGGGTCAGCCTGTAATCCCAGCACTTTGGGAGGCTGAGGCGAGAGGATTGCCTGAGCCCCGGGGGTTTGAGACCAGCCTGGGCAACTTGGTGAGACCTCGTCTCTACAATAAACCACAAAAAGTAGCCGAGTATGGTGGTGCGCACCTGTAGTTTCAGCTACTTGGAAGGCTGAGGTGGAAGGATCACCTGAGGCTGGCAGGTCGAGGCTGCAGTGGCCATGAGCATGCCACTGCCCTCCAGCCTGGGCGACAGAGTGAGACTCTGACTCAAAAAAAAGAAAAAAATTGTTAACTGTATTTGAGTAAAGGGTCCTACCAGATATGATTAAGGATTTTGAGATAGAGAGATTGTAGAAGTGAGCCCTAAATGCAATCACAGATGTCCTTATAAAAAGGAGACAAAGGGAACTTTGACACAGGGAGGGAAGAAAGCAAATGACCATGGAGGCAGAGGTTGAAGGAACGCAGCCAGAGAATGCCTGAAGCCCCCAGAGGCTGGAAGAGACAGGAAGAGGTTCTGAAGGAAGCATGCCCCTGACAACACTGATTTTGGTCCTGTGACACTGATTTTGAACTTCTGGTCTTCAGAACTGTGAGATAGTAAATTTCTGTTGTTATAAGTAACCAAGTCCGTGGTAATTTATTACAATAGCCTCAAGAAACTAATATAATTATTTACAAAAATAATTTTTTTTTGAGTCAGAGTCTCACTCTGCTGCCCATACTGGAGTGCAGTGGCACACTGCTCATGGTCACTGCAGCCTCCACCTGCTGGGCATGCACCACCACGTCCGGCTAATTTTTTTATTTATTGTAGAGACGAGGTTTCATCAAGTTACCCAGGCTGGTCTTGAGCCCCTGGACTCAGGCAATACTCTTGCCTCGGTCTCCCAAAGGGCTGGGATTACAGGCTTGAGCCAACACACCTGGCCTAAAAATAATTTTTTTTTTGAGACAGAGTCTCACTCTGTTGCCCAGACTGGAGAGAAGTGGCATGATCAGAGCCTACTGTAACCTTCAACTCCTAGGCTCAAGGGATTCTCTCAGCTCAGCTTCCTGAGTATCTGGGACTACAGGCATGTGTCACCATGCCTGGCTAACTTTTTAATTTTTATTTTTGTGTTAATGAGGTCTCTCTATATTGCCCAGGCTAGTCTCGAACTCCTAGCTCAAGCAATCCTCCCAGCTTGGCCTCCCAAAGTGCTGGAATTACTGGTGTGAGCCACTTCACCTAGTTCCCCAAATAATTTTTAAATTACAAAAGTATTTTTTACTAAAGGGAATAGACAGTATTTTGTGGCCAGATTATTATGTTTAGCACTTATGAATTTCCAGTAGGATTAAGAATCAGTATGAGATTTTATTGATGCTCAGAAAGAAAATTGTTCCTTATTTGTGAGTTTAACTTTTTCAGAGTATTGTTTGTTAAACTTCCACCTGGTCCATAATGGTTCAAAATGATAGTCAAAATAATGATTTAACCTGTTTTACTTTAAATCTTATATCTCAAGAATTAGTTGAAAGAAACATAAGAAAGCCTTTCTGTTTTTCAGAATGAAGACTATTGAAAATAACTCCTCAAAGATTCAATCTCAAATAGATCAAATGAAACATCTTAGGGCAGAATATGATACGAAAGAAGTAAAATATTGTACTTCCTCCAAAGATCCATCAAAACCTATTCCAGGTACTATATTTTGTTTAAAATATTTTAGAGAAATCACAACTGTGTCCAGTTAGTATCTATGACACAAACTAATATAAATATGCTTATATGTGTGCATCTTCCAAGTGTATGTCGTACAAACAACTTTAGTCAAGACTCGAGGTAGATACAAGGGAATGGGAGAACTTTAACAATTCTAACAGATGAAAAGAGTTCTAGTCTGGCTAGGTTATATAAAGTGTAATGCATTGGCTCCTGAATCAAGTGTGGTTCCTGAATGAACATCAGCAGCCCTTGAAAACCTCTTAGAAATGCAGATTCTGGCTAGGTGCAGTGGCTCATGCCTATAATCCTGCACTTTGGGAGGCCAAGGTGAAAGGATTGCCTGAGCCCACGGGTTCAAGACCAGCCAGGACAACTTGGCAAGCCTCTACAATCAATTTTTTAAAAAATTAGCTGGGTGTGGTAGCGCATGCCTGTAGTTTCAGCTTCTTGGAAGGCTTAGGCAGAAGGATCACCAGAGCCCAGCAGGTCGAGGCTGCAGTGACCGTGAGTATGCCACTGCACTCCAGCCTGGGTGATGGACTCCAACTCAAAAAAAAAAAAAAAAAAGAAATGCAGATTCATCACAGTTTTACTCTGTTAGAAACTTAGTGGGTAGGGTCCAGCAGTTAGTGACTTAACAAAATCCTTCATGTTATTCTGATACACTCAGAAGTTTCAGAATCAGAACCACAGGTATAATATGTGGAAAAACTGAAGCATATTAAGTTCTGGTGATTATTATTGATTTATGTTGATGTCAGCATTCATTGGTTCCACATTTTGAGAAATTGGAGTATATCCTGGAATTCATCCAGGATGCTGAGAGGTTTATAGGATGAATGGATAGAGGAATTGAAAGGTATTCATCCTGGAGAAACAAAGACTTTGAGAAAACTAACACTATCCAAAACTTTGAAAGCTTTTGGCTAGTGTTTATTCAGAGGCAGGATTCTAGGTAGAAATTTTAGGAAGCCAGATTTAGTCGCAGTGGAAGAAGCTATGTCTTGAAGTAATAATGAGCTACTCCATCCTAAAGGATTTCAGCTGAGGTTGAATGATCATCTTGCGTTTGGTGAAAGGGACTAGATTCACTTTCAAATATAAATTGTGACTAGGAAATGACAAATAAGAAACATATTAATAAGTACAGAATGACTGACAAATTGATCAAATGCTGAGAACATCAGGGTAAGAGAATGTTTAAAATTGAGTAGAATTAATTCAGGGAAGTTTTTGGAGGAGGAGTACCTTGAGGTATGTCTTACAATCAATAATTGTCCGAAGAAAGAAAGGCATTTAGGGTGTGTGTGTGTGTGTGTGTGTGTGTGAGATGAATATTGAATAGAGAGGACAGTGAGAAGGAGAGAGAACTGAAGAAGATTTGGCAGGCGTTTTTCTGTGTTTTTTTTTCCTATGGTTTTTTTTGTTGTTGTTGTTGTTTTGCTTTGTTTTTTGAGTTGGAGTCTCACTTCATCGCCCAGGCTGGAGTGCAGTGGCATGCTCATGGCCACCCCAGCGTGGGACCTGCTGGACTCTGGCGATCCTTCTGCCTCAGGTTTCCAAGGAGCCAGAACTACAGGCGCGCGCTACCATGCTGGGCTGATTTTTTATTTATTATGTAGACGAGGTCTCACCAATTTCCATGGACTGATCTCGAACCTGTGGGCTCAGGTAATCCACTTGCCTGGCCTCCCAAAGTGCTGGGATTACAGGCTGAGTTACTGAGTCCCGCCAGCAGGCATTTTAACTTTTGTGTTGGAAAGAATGAATTGATCACCCTGGGGTTAGCTATAGTAGAGTAATGGGGGAATGTTTAGAGGAAAATCTGTTGACAAGTTCTGGATTGTTAGGCAAAGTCTCTTGGTCTTCTTAACAGTGATATTTAATGGTTTTCAGTGTATAGTGATGAGGTCATTAAAAACTTTTTTTTCCCAGGTGCTAAGATGTGTGTCTTCTCAAAACAGTCTTTACTGGTGATGTTTAAAACCCCTAGCCAGTTGTAATTTTATGCTAATCCTGCAAGTACATGCTACCCTTTCTGAATTATTTCTTAAAATAGTGAACTATCTAACCTATCTTGGTAAGACTTGCTGTTTGAGCCATGAATCTCACACATGTCTTGGCCTGTTTGATTTGTTCCCTTTTCCCATAGGCATGACTCTCCAAGAGTCTGTCAGTTTAGATGCTCTCACTAAATACATGAAACATCTTGAAAATAAATATGCAGAAATTAAGCAAACTATGTCAACAAAATATGTACCAGCTCAGAGGAAGACTGATTTAGATGAAGCAATGGTTGCATTATTAAAGCGGCGAGATATAGCAGAAAATCAGAACAAAGAATTACAGCTTTGGTATGAAAATTGATTATATGTTTTTAAAATTTGAAACTTCTATCTGTGTTATTCTAATATTTCACCATTTGATTTTAAGCTCAGTATGTTATTGTTTTTTTTTAAATAAATTGATTATATGTTTTTAAAATTTGAAACTTCTATCTGTGTTATTCTAATATTTCACCATTTGATTTTAAGCTCAGTATGTTATTGTTTTTTTTTAAATAAATTGATTATATGTTTTTAAAATTTGAAACTTCTATCTGTGTTTATTCTAATATTTCACCATTTGATTTTAAGCTCAGTATGTTATTGTTTTTTTTTAAATCTTTATAGTCATCAAAGGCTGCAGATAATTTCACATGCACTTACTTCATGGGTAAAATCTGATAGGAGCAGCTCATTTCAAGACTTCGTGGAGCACATCCAGAAAACCAAAGATTTACATGGTAGTTCATCTATATTTTTTAATTAGCACAAATAATGGAAGACATTTTTTCCACAGAAAGTTAAAGAGTGTTCTTAGGCTGAGTTAAAATAAAACGAAAAAACATTTATTTCTACTAGTTCTCTGTTACCCTATGAGTTCCTTCAGCAGCTTACAGATGATTTTTAGGAAATAGACTTGGTGAGCCAAAGAGAGCATCCTGAAAATAAAGAGGAAAGGGACAGGGAGGCACTCAGTTCCCAGAGAGGCTGGTGCTGTTAGAAACCATAGTAATAAGTTGTTGGCATTAAACATATGTGTGTTTATTATTTCCTATCAATAAATAACCTCAAATGTCTTCTGGTGGTACTTTCAATATTTACAGATGACCAAGGCATTGTGGAGGAACTATTGGAAGATGATCCAAGCAAGGCAAAAGAAGCTGAAATTACACTGTACTACATTGAAAGGCAAATATTTTAAAAGCTTTCATTTTCCATGTTAAAATGACCATATTTACCATTTATTTCGTATCTTGATGAGTCATATTTTTTCTACAGATTCTTTGTGGAAAAAATACCAGATTGGGAGTATAGAAGATTTTTCAGAACAGAAAAGAGGATTATAGTGTTGATTTAAGTTTTATTTATACAGGTTGAACATCCCTAATTTAAAATCTCAAAATTTGAAATGCCCAAACTCTGAAACTTTTTGAGTGCTGACTTGGGATTGTGACACCTTTGCTTTCTTATGTATCAGTGTATGCAAACTTTGTTCCATGCATAAAATTATTAAAAATACTGCATAAGATTACTCTCAGGCTGTGTATATAAGATGTAGATGAAACATAAATTTTATGTTTAGACTTGGGTGGCATCCCCAAGATATCTCATTATATATATGCAAATATTCCAAAATCAGAAAAAATTCAAAATTCAAAATATTTCTGGTCTCAATTATTTCAGATAAGGGAGACTTAAACTGTACTTTTCTTACATTTCCTAGACATCAACCTGATGTTACAAAGTGTTATTGAGACTGTCTTTTTGAGTCAGACTGTCCTAGCCAATTCAGTCCTTTCTTTCTCATAATTTCCATCCTAATGACTTATTAAGAAGGCGTATGTCCCTCTAATACTTAAGTTATTGTATGTAGAATATAATAGAGGCTTAAAGAAATCTAAGACTATTTTTTTTTTTTGAGTTGGAGTCTCACTCTGTTGCCCGACTGGAGTGCAGTGGCCGCTCCCAGCCACCGCAGCCTCGACCTGCTGGGCTCCGGTGATCCTTCTGCCTCAGCCTTCCAAGTAGCTGGAACTACAGGCACACGCTACCATGCCCGGCTAATTTTTTGATTTATTGTAGAGATGAGGTCTCGCCAAGTTTCCCGGGAGGGTCTCAAACCTGCGGGCTCAGGCAAACCACTCACCTTGGCCTCCCAAGGCGCAGGATTACAGGCTGAGCTACGGAACCCGGCTATTTTTTTGAGTTGGAATTTTACTCTGTTGCCCAGACTGGGGTGCAGTGGCATGATCACGGCTCACTGTAGCCTCAACCTCGTGGGCTCAGGTGATCCTTCTACTTTAGCTTTCTAAGTCTCTGGGACTATAGACATGTGCCACCACACCCAGCTGATTTTTTTTTCTTTTTTCTTTTTTTTGTGGACAAGGTCTTGCTATGTAGCCTAGGCTGGTCTTGAACTTCTGGACTCAAGCTATCTTCCCACTTTTGCCTCCAAAGTGCTGGGATTACAGATGTGAGCCACTGTGCCTGGCCTGAGCCTATATTCTTTTTTTTTTATTGTTACCCAAACTGTTTAATCTATATCTTTCTCCCTCCCTTCCTCCCTCTTTCCCTTCCTCCCTCCCTGCCTCTCTCTGTCTCTATCTCTCTCTCTCTCTGTCTCTATCTCTCTCTCTCTCTCTCTCTCTCTCTCTCTGTTATCTATCTAATCTATCTTAACGTTGTGAGGTATAAGAGAGGATTTGCTATATAAGTAGGCTGCGTTCAGGTGAAGTTTGGGCTTTTAACTGATCTTCTCTCCCCTTGGTAGTGGACTAGGTACCCTTTGTGTTGCCACGTGCCCCCCTCCCTCCCCTAGCAGTGCCCAGAGTCTGCCAATGTCATTCCTGTGCTAGAGTGATTGGTATTCAGGGCCCACTTATGAGTGAGAACATGTGGTATTCAGTTGTTTGTATCTGTGATGGATGAGACTCTGTTTTTTAAGAGGTTAATTCATAGGCGATGAGGCCAATATGTAATGAACATGTGTAATATTCCTAGTCTTGTATGTTAAACAGCTTTCAACTTTTGATTTGTTTGTTGATATGGTATAAAGAAGGGGGCATAGATAGTCTTTTTGTGTGTGAGGGATCACAAAGACTGCATTATTTCCTTAAGCATGTACTTCTCTAAGTCTGCTAGTTTTGGTATGAGAGAAAAACCCTTGTTGAGAATTTAATGCATTTTGCTTAATTTACTTTAGTGTTTTTCCCCCTGGGGTTCCACATTTATTTACAACACTATTCAAACCCTGTTTGCCATAGTTTTATTAATTGTGCAGTAAGGACTAATTTGAAGACCTTTTGCCATAGAAAGAGGAGAAGAGGGTTAAGGTATCTTAACTATTATCTTTCTTTCTTACGTTAGTCCAGGATTGAATTGGTCATCAAATGCCTTCCAGAGCAACATAGTCTTCTGGATGCCAAGGACACCTCTTGAGCTCTAATTTGGCAGTGTCTGTGTTCAGTTAATATTTCCTATAGGCGGAGTTTCTAAGCAAATTGCCCTTCTTTCTCCTGATACTGGTACTTTTTTATATGGAGATATGAGAGAAAAAAATCAGAGCGCATTATAAATTCACTTTAAGTTCTTTCTTTCCATTTTCTGTGGCTTGCTTTAGTACTATAGGAATAAAGTACAGAATCGGGTGCAAAGTCAGCTGACAGGCAAGAGTTTTATTCTGAAACTTAAAAATAACAAGATATTAGAAGAAGACTTGAAAGAGCATCTTCCAGGGTGAATGAATCTTGTTGTAGTTTACTATAATTGCTTTCATTTTTATATATTAATATGTCACTATATTTAGTCTATATTAGACATTTCTAATCAATTTTTCTTCTTTTTCTGTGTATCATTACAATGCATTATAAAATACAATGGCTATAGGTTTAATGAATTAATCTCACTTGGTGAATATGAAAAGGCAGCTTGTTTTGCAGCAAACAGTCCTAGAAGAATTCTTCGAAATATTGGTACAATGAATAAATTTAAGGGTAAGCATTTCTACTCTGAACCTTATATGCTTGCAAGTTATACTACTTTTTCTCTGACAGAATAGAAAGAATATTAAAATGGGAGACTGAAGATCTAGGCTCCAGCCCCATCTCTACCGTTAATTCAGTTTTCTTAGCTGTAACATTAAGAGGTTTGATTAGGTTTTCTAAATTATGAAATATTTTTAGTTTACAGAAAAGTATGGAGAAACATATTAACAACCAGGTACTCACTCTCAAGATTTAATAAATGTTAATATTTTGTCAAATTTGCTCCACATTCTTTTAAAAAACAGCTTTCAGCAGGGCATAATGATTTATGGCTGTGACTACAGCATTTTGGGAGGCCAAGGATTGCTTGAGCCCAGGAATTTGAGTTTACAGGGAGTTATGATCATGCCACTGCACTCCAGCCTGGGTGACAGAATAAGACTCTGTCTCTAGAAAAGAAAATGAAGCCGGGCTCGGTGGCTCAGCGTGTAATCCCGCGCCTTTGGGAGGCTGAGGTGAGTGGATTGCCTGAGCTCGCAGGTTCGAGACCCGCCTGGGCAGCGAGACCTCATCTCTACAATAAATCAAAAAATCAGCCGGGCGTGGTAGCGCGTGCCTGTAGTTCCAGCTACTTGGAAGGCTGAGGCGGAAGGATCGCTGGAGCTCAGCAAGTCGAGGCTGTGGTGGCTGGGAGCGGCCACTACACTCCAGTCTGAGCAACAGAGTGAGACTCCAACTCAAAAAAAAAAAGAAAAGAAAATGAAATAAAAACAACTTTTTGTGGTAAATAGATATACATCCAACAAATTATACATATTTAAAGTACACTATTTGGTAAATTTTGACACATTTATACACCCATGAGATTATCACCCCAAAGTCTCCTCATACCCCTCAGTGATCCTTCTCTTCCCACTAATTCCTATCTCACCCATTCCTCTCTCCCACAGCCTCTTCTTCCCCCAATCCTCAGGTAATTGCTGGTCCAATTTCAGTAGCCATGGATTAGTTTGCATTTTCTAGAATCTTATATAAATGGAATAATACAGTAGGTATTCTTTGTTTTCACTGATTTCTTGTACTCAGCATACTCATTTTGAAGTTTATGTTGTTGGATCTATCAGTAGGTCATTTCCTTTTATTGATGAATAGTATGCCATTATATGCATACAAGTCCTTTATCATATATATGATTTGTAAATATTTTCTTTCAGTCTGTGTCATGGCTTTTTATTCTCTTAATAGTATCTTTCTAAGAGTAGAAGTTTTTAATTTTGTTGAAGTTCAATTTGTGTGATTTTTTTTCTTGTATGGATTTTGATTTTAGTGTCATACCTAAGAAATCTATGCTAAATCCACAAAGATTTTCCTCCTAAGAACTATACCACAATATATTAATCTGTTGTACTGTGGAGAGACACTTAGAGGGTTACTAGTTTGGGGCTATTGTAAACAGTTTTGTTTTGAACGTGTATCTTGGTGTACATAGTTAAGAATTTCTCTAGGATATGTATCTGAGATTGAACTTTCTGGGCCGGATGCAGTGGCTCATGCCTATAATCCCAGCACGTTGGGAGACCGAGGTGAGAGGACTGCCTGAGCTCAGGGGTTCGAGACCAGCCTGGGCAACATGGCGAGACCTCATCTCTACAATAAACCAAGAAAAATTAGCTGGGTGTGATGGTGCATGCCTGTTGTTCCAGCTACTTGGAAGGCTGAGGAGGAAGAATCGCCTGAGCCCAGCAGGTCAAGGCTGTGGTGGCTGTGAGCATGCCACTGCACTCCAGCCTGGGCAACAGAGTGAGATTCTGACTCAAACAAAAAAAAAAGATAGAATTTTCTGGGTTATGAAGTAGTTTTACCAATTTACATTCCCACTGGTAATGTATGTGATTTTTCTGTTGCTCCATATCTTGTTAGTGCCAGACCTTTACATGTTTGCCATTCTTGTGGTTATGTAATCTGATTGTGTTTTAATATTAACCTGCATGAATACTAATGAAATTGAGACTCTTTTCTTTCTTTTTTTTGAGACAGGGTCTTGCTGTGTCACCCATACTGAGGTGCAGTGGCATGAAGATAGCTCATTGTAACTGCAAACTCTTGGGTTCAAGCAATCCTTCTGCCTCAGACTCTCAAATAGTTAGGACTACAAATGCATGCCACTGTGCCTGGCTAATTATTTATTTATTTATTTATTTATTTATTTATTTATTTATTGAGTTGGAGTCTCACTCTGTCGCTCAGACTGGAGTGCAGTGGCTGCTCCCGGCCACCGCAGCCTCGACCTGCTGGGCTCCCGCGATCCTTTCGCCTCAGCCTTCCGAGTAGCCGGAATTACAGGCACGCACTACCACGCCCGGCTGATTTTTTTTTATTTATTGTAGAGATGAGGTCTCGCCAAGTTGCCCAGGCAGGTCTCGAATCTGCGGGCTCACACAATCCATTCACCTCAGCCTCCCGAAGCACGGGATTACAGGCTGAGCCACTGGGCCCGGCTAGTTTTTTATTTTTATTTTTGTAGAAATGGGGTCTCACTGTGTTGCCTAAGTTAGTCTCAAACTCTTGGCCTTAAGCAGTCCTCTTGCCTTGGTCTCCCAAAGCACTAGCCACTGTTCCCATCCTGAAGTAGTACCCAACATAAAGAATTCTTTAGGTCTTTTGCCCATTTTACTATTGGATTTTCTATAGGTTTAATGAATTAATCTCACAGGGTTTTACTCTGTCGTGCAGACTGGAGTGCATTGGCACAGTCATGGCTCACTTTATCCTTGACCTCCTGGGTTCAAGTGATCCTCTTACCTCAGTTTCAAGTAGCTGGGACTACAGGCACACACCACCACACCTGGCAAATTTTTCTATTTTTTGTAGAGACTGGGTCTTGCTTTGTTGCCCAGGCTGGTCTTGAACCCTAGCAATCCTCTTATCTCCACCTCCCAAAGTGCTGGGATTACAGGCATGAGCCACCACGTCTAGCAATTACTGTATATTCTATGGAGAGATTTTGTATTTGTTTCTGCCAGGTCTCTAGTATTTCAACAGCCTTAAAGTGGTCTTTGTTAACTTCTTGGTTTTGGCTTCCTGACCCACATACCCGGCCCAAATTCAGACTCCATTTCCATGTGAATATAGATGTTTTATTTCATCCAGTGAGAGAGAAAGATGTAGACAAGGACAGTAGGCCATGGGAGCCACAGTGTCATGTTATCAGAGTCCTAGTTAGATCTTTAAAGTTCTTTCTATCTCAAATTTGATGGCTCAAGGTAGATTAAAATTACTTACATCTTAAAACAGTTATATTTTTAAACAAGTTGCTTTCTGCTTTTGAAAGTCTGTATAAAACCTCATTTTTAAGACATATTAAAGCTCAAATATGATGTCATTGATAGGAACAGTGCTTCTAGTAATGTTCACAGCAATATACTCTGTAACCTTCCCAGAAAATTTCTGAGTGTGCTTTTTTACCATGGATCAAACTATTATGACCTAGGTACTGAGATACAAAGATTAGTAAGGCCAAATCCTTGGCTTCAAGGAGATAAAAATTGAGAAGAAACATAGAAGCAGACAAATGTGGAACCAATTCATTCATTCATTCATTCATTCATTCATTCATTCATTCATTCATGTATTAACTCAATTACTTTATTCATTCAACAGAATTGATTGATATGTGCCAGACGTTGTTCTAGGTTCTGGAAATATAGCAGAAAATAAATCCTACAAAAACTCTCATCATCATGGGGTTTACATGTAGTATGATTCTAGTGATAGGAAGAAAGTTATCTGGAAACTTAGAAAATAATTATTAATAGTTTAGTACTCCTGCCCTCAACTGTGCCTGTTGTCTTCATGTAGACACCCTATGTTTTATCTTTCTCAGGTAATAAGTTCTAGTCTTTTCTAGGGAAATGGGTATCATCTGACTGAGTAAGGAGTGGCTTTTTAAACAGCCTTTTAACCAAGTTTTCTAGTTTTAGCACAACCTCATTCCAGAGATTCCCAGTGCAGGCAATTCCTGAGACTTTCTGAGTCCGATGGTGTAAATGGGATTGCATCTTGGTTTTCCTTATTAGTAGTTTAGGAGTCAGACTTTTAAAGAACTACTATGCCAGTTTCCATTCTCTATCCATTTCCTAGCTTCCAAAATTTTATTATTTCCTTTTTAATTTGTTCCTGTGAAATATCTTTACTGTCATTTTCATGAACTAAAAGTAAATGCATGTGTTCAATCTATCATCTTTACCTGAAAGTTCAGTTGAATTGTCCTCAAACTTGTTAATCTACAGTAAATATAAGAAATATTTTATCTTTTGCCATTGTATGTATCTATATGTATATATATATATTTAATTTATCGTAAAACATGACAGACTTATATAGTACAGAATGTTTGCTAGGAGGCACAATACCTCTGTTTTAGTTTTGTCTTCCCATAAATTTGCATTATCTTTTTTGACCAAACTACTTTATTTCCTTGAACCTCAGTTTTATTATTTAAAAAACAGGAATTTTAATGATCCTCCCTTATAGGATTACTGGATAAGACCATCAGAAAATCACAAAGCACCTTACAAGCTTTAGAGATTTCAGCAACATGCCACTTACTCCGAATTAATTTTATTTATGGCATATATCTGAGAATTTAGAACTAAGCTCAAAAAGTCTGTGAACCTCAAAAATAGGTGTTACATATTCTCTGTGTAAAAATCTATACATTCCATTAATAGACTCTCAACCAGAATCCATTTTTTATTTCATGACTGCTTTTGCCAAGCTTTGTATCTATGAAACTAGATCATTAAACAAGCTATACTTGATAGAGAATAAAGCAAGAAATAACTTTATTCTTTCTCATCATTGCCCTTTAAAAGGGCTATATTGACTTTTCTATTTCTTTTACTAGACAATATCTTGGTAAAAAAAATTACAGCATTTTTTTCAGTCTCTTTTAGATGTCAACAGTTTTATTTTTAGGTTCCCAAAAGTCTAGTCTCAACTAAATAGAAACTATAATCTCTTGTTTAATCTAAAAATTCTCCCCGTCTCACTGATTTGGCTCTTAATTGGTTCTAGAACCCAATGGGGCTCAGGAGACATATTTGCTTCTTCTGTACTCTTCTCCCCCTCTACTAATCACTTGGCTTCTTTAGGGTAGGGTTATGTAAGGGTCAGGAAAGGTCCTACTCAACTGGTACAGTGGTCGTTTAGCCTTGGTGTTTTCTGGGTGTGGCAGATATTCAATGTTGGCTCTAGTTGGTTGCTTTAGTCCTTGCTTTTTAGAACCTCTCCTTACTGGGGGCTTTCCACTGTGCCTTTTACTGATTCAGGAGGTATTGCTTTAGCTGGCTGCTTATGAATTTCCCTTCAGCTACTTCTGTGGTATGTACCTCAAAGACTCTCAGGTGGGATCATGTGGTCTGCATGCAGGCCTCTCTGAGATGACCTTTTCAAGACAACTCCAACCTATCTACCTTCTATGGAGTCCTCACCCTTTAGGAACATGCAATCTTGTGGAAGTAGAGTTTGCTCCTACGTTAATTCTCTCTCCTCATTCTGGTTTTTTACCTTTAAACTCTCCAGGCAAATATCAGGCACTGGTCTCTGTTCTCTTTCTTTCTTTTTTTTTTTTTTGAGTTGGAGTCTCACTCTGTCACCCAGACTGGAGTGCAGTGGCCACTCCTGGTCACTGCAGCCTCGACCCACTGGGCTCCGGTGATCCTTCCGCCTCAGCCTTCCAAGTAGCTGGAACTACAGGCTCACGCTACCACGCCCGGCTAATTTTTGATTTATTGTAGAGATGAGGTCTCGCCAAGTTGCCCAGGCGGGTCTTGAACCCGTGGGCTTAGGCAATCCACTCACCTCGGCCTCTCAAAGTGCTAGGATTACTGGTTGAGCCACCGAGCCTGGCCTGTTCTCTAAATTCTAAGTCACCATGTACAGCTGTTCTCGTAGAACTTTTCTCAGTTGACATTGAGGGGGGGAGTTAAATAAAAACATCGGAAGTATGATATGGTGGTTAATTTATTTTTTAATCACAAAAGGAAAATAATCTGATGGATTAAGAATTCAAATTGATAGTCTTTCTCCTCTGAAAGTTCAAGCATTAGATGTATATACAATTTAAATAAAAAATGAATTGTAGGAACGCTAATTTGAAATTAAGATGCTTTATTTGGTCATTGGCTGAACCTATACATAAATTTCAGGATTCTAATTTGTCATTCTCATTGAAATGTTTTCAAAGTTAAGGTATGTTAGACTAAATATGGACCTCTAAATGTCCAGTTTTATATTTGTCTCATTTGATTGGTCATAGAGCAATATAGTTTGCATTAGGAATTTTACCCTCTGTGTAGCTGCAACTGCACCTTTTGTTTTTTCTATTCAAACTACATGAGATGGTGTACACATATATTCCTAGCTACTGGGGAGACTGGGCCAGGAGGACTGCTTGAGCCCATGAGTTGGAGGCTGCAGTGAACTATGATTGAACCACTGCACTCCAGTCTGGGCAACAGAGCAAGACTCTATCTGAAAAAACAAACAAAACTAAACAAAAGTAAATGTGGTTGTTTTCCCTTCATATCATAGTTTTTCCTTGGTCATGGCAAATTTACAGCATTAACAGGCGAATCTTATGGCTTAAAAGAAAAAAAATTATTTTCTCACAGTTCTGGAGACCAGAAGTCTGAAATCAAGGTGTCAACAGAGTTTATTCCTTCTGGAGGCTCTAGGAGATTCCATTCCATGTCAGAATGGAGTCTCCTCATGGCCTCTCTCCTAGCTTCTGGTCATCAGTGATTTTTGGCATCCCTTGATATCTCTACCACTGTCTTCACATGACATATGCTATTTAGTCACTATCCAAAATAAACAGTTTAATCTGTAAGTATTAGTTAAAAATCATAGATTGTTAAAGTTTTAGAAAATCAAATAAATGAAAATAGTAATATGAAATTTAAAAAGCAACCTATTTCTTAAAGTGTTTGACTTGAAAATTTTCTTCTTCCTGTAGGTGTTGGAAAAATTAGAGGAAAACCTCTCCCATTACTCTTATTTTTTGAGGCCCTCTTTATCACAAGTCGTGCTTTTAGACATCCCGTTGATGCAGATCTAACCTTGGAAGGAATTAAGTGTGGACTCTCTGAAAAACGGTTAGATTTAGTTATCAATTGGGTTACCCAAGAAAGGTAAGCAGAGCTAAACTTTTAATTTAATTTTGACATTTGGCTAATAAAGTAGTTTGCTCTCAAAATAGTACTAGTTTTCTTATCAATACATTATTTGAACATTTATTTCAGGACCCTATTGCAATTAAACAGAAAATATTTACTAAGTATTCATGGAGTAATGAGACCCAGTCTCGATGAGCCCAGATCAAGAGTTGATTCATGGCAGTTCACAAGATGATTCATGACAATAGAAGGGTGGATGAAGGTTGAGCAATAAGGATAGGGAAGGATTGGTCAGTATTATGCTGCTGGGAAGGAAAAGACAAGAAGCTGGTTCCAGACAGGCTGTGAGTACATGTAAGGGATAAACCCAGGAGACAGCATGTAAGCTGGAAGAACATGGATCAAGGTGGCATTTAGAACTTACAAACCAGAAAGGACGGGTAGAAGGTGACTTCTTGGAGCTGGGTCTCAGCACTGCTTGGCAAGTTTGTACCAGGGCCCTCTTATGTTAGGTTCCCTAGAACCAAAGCCTGAGACAGGAATTTGGGTGCATATGATTGATAGAAGGAGACTTTCTCAGGAAGTACTTATAAGGGAATGAGTGAAGCAGAATAGGAAAGGGGAAAGGACCAATGAAGATGGGGCCTCAGGCAGCATCAACCTTTGGCTGAATTTATGGATTGATGGCTCTGGACCATAAACCACAACACAGAGCTCTTCTCCCTTAAGGCAAGGGCCCACCTTTTGTACCCCTCTGCCGGTCTGTCAAGAGCTATGAGCTACCTGTTGGTGTGAGCGCACACAAATTCCCAGAGGAGTTGGTTCTCACCAACCAGGAACAAGGAAGGCACCTGTGTACCACTGGTAGTCAATGCCAGAGCAGCTGAGGAAGGGTACACTGGTCTAGTAAGGAAGATTTGGGGGAAGCACTGAAGTGACATCTATCCCAGTCAGCCATTTGCACCACACGGATCTATTTGCTTCTCACATTAAGCTCACTTCATTCGGGCATTCCATGGTTGTAATTCCTGGGGAAACTCACTGCTGGGAGGGAAAAGACAGGAAACTGGTTCCAGACAGGCTGGATAAAGATAAACACTTCACATAGGAGGGTTAGTGGGATGAGCTATGGCCTCTGTTGCTACAATTGGTCCTAAATCTGTAATTTGGTTTTTACAACTTTATTGAGGTATAATTCACATAGAATTAACTACACATATCTCAAGTGCATAATTTAATGCGTTTTTAAAAATAATAATGTGGTATAACTGTCATACAATAAACCACACATATTTAAAGTGTGGAGTTTGACAAGTTTTGACATGTATGTGTATATATATAATTCATGAAATTCTCATCATAATCAAGATAATAAACATATCCATCACCTTCAAATGGTTCCCGATGTTCCTTTGTAATGCCTCCTCCTCCCTGCCTCTTCACTCTATTCCACTCCTTATCTCCAGGTAACAGCTGATCTGCTTTCTGCTACTGTAGATTAGTTTGCATTTCCTAGAATTTTATATAAATGGAACCATACAGTATGTATTCTTTTTCCTTCTTGGACTGGCGTCTTTCACTCATTATGATTGAGATTCTTTTTTACTAATTATTGCTCTTCATCTTTCTCCTCTACACCCATTTTTAATTTTTCTCACTCTTAGACTTCTACTGATCTTGGTAGGTTGGTCCAGATAGGCCTGGTAGGCTGAGTCTTGGTTACCATACCTTTATCAAATTGTGGCATTTGACTAACCGTTTTTAATTGGCATGGGAGTACCCAGAGACATTTCAGTAGATGATATGCTACCCATGGCAGAAAACAGCTTCTGAGTCATGCTAAAGTTGGAGTGTTTCTCCATGAGGCATCAGACTGTGCAATTAGAACTGGCCCATCGTGAACAGGATTCTGACAGACTCGTCAGGGCATAGAGTCAGTTGAGTTCTAGGAGTCCATCCAAAATCAAGATTGGGCTTGGGCAGATCCAGAGCATATAAGTAAGCTTCGGGAAGAGATGGCTCAAACCCCATGTCAACCACCACTGGCTGACTGACCTTACTACAACTCACACTTATGACCTCATGCAGGGGTAGGTTACTTAAGACCAGAGGACAGAGAAATAAAAAACCCAAACTTGGCTCAAGTGGTGTCCAGGTGATGCTAGGTTGTCACTTCATCCTTTGAAGTGACCATCCTTCAGGATGAAGTATACTTTTTTTTGTCCAAATAGACCACTTTGCACTAAAGAGTATGCTTCTTAAACTAATGACAATTATATGCTACTCTGTCACCAACAGGTAGAATACTTGGGTTTAGAAACTAAAAAGTGGTCCTACTTAACTTTCACTCCCAATAGCACACTTGAGAAGTGTCAGGGTTAGCCAGAGAAACAGAACCAATAGGAGGTATGTGCACATATCTATAGCTATGTATAATAGGAAATTGACACATGTAATTTTGGAGGCTGAGAAGTCCCAAGATCTCTAGTCAGCAAACTCTGGGGACCCGGGAGAGCTGATGATGTAGTTCCAGTCCAAAAGCTGGCAGGCTCAAGAAGAGCTGATGTTTCTGTTTGAGTCTGGAAGCAGGAAAAGACTGCTGTCCCAGCTCAAGGAGTCAGGTGAGAGGAGTTTCCCATTACTTGAGGGAGGGTCAACCTTTTTGTTTTCAGGTCTTCAGCTGATTGGATAAGGCCCCACCCACATTGGGGAGGGCAATCTGCTCTAGGCAGTCTGCTGATTCAAAAGTTTATCTCCTATAAAAGAATCATTTTTCCAAGTTTTCCATGATGGAATAAAGCATTTCCCCCTTCCATTTGAAAGGAAAATGGAAAATAAAAATATGCATTTAGTTTCCTGTAGAAATCTAAATTAATTTTCTTAGCACATGCACAAATACATTCCAAACAACTTTATTGCCACATTGACTGTTACCAGAGAGATAGTAGTTGATAAAAATTATCAATAAACAAAGGCAAAAGAGAAGGGATCCTTTAAAGTTACATCTGCAGGAAGATGGCTCCAACATAAAAGAGAGAGCAGAACAGCATCATTTCAACTGAATGTTTGACTTTTTTGGTCTATGACCCTTCCTCACTGGTCATAAGCTGCAAAGGGTGAAAATCCTGTCAGGTCATCTGAGGAATTAATCTTAGGTTTTCTTATAATCTTTTTTCTTCCTTGTGTATACTTCTGGCTTTAAGTTGGCTGTGCCTGCTGGCTTTTCATAATTATGGGCAAACCATAAAGCAACCACAGGAATGATTATCCAATAAGTAGTACATTCACTCTGAAGATATATTCATGTTTACAAACAAATCTATCACAATTATAAGCTTGGGAGTAGGTGAGACCTTTCATAGAATATTACTATATGAATACTTTGGGGTAAGGTAGAATCAGTGTTCAGTGTTAGTTTCCACACTAACAAGAACCACATTTTAGGGCCTAACTTGAAAGCCTAGTCCCATGTACCTAAGATTACCATGTTTGGGATGGGTGTGGTGGCTCATTCCTGTTATCCCAGCACTTTGAGAGGTGGCGGTGAGAAGATTGCCTGAGCTCAGGGGTTCAAGACCAGCCTGGGCAACTTGATGAGACCTCATCTCTACAATAAATCAAAAATGATTAGCTGGACATGGTGGTGCATGTCTATCGTTCCAGCTACTTGTAAGGCTTTTGTGGAAGGGTCACCTGAGCCCAGCAGGTCAAGGCTGCAGTGGCTGTGAGTGTGCTACTGCATTCCAGCCTGGGTGACAGAATGAGACTCTTAAAGAAAAAAATAAAATAATCATGTTTGGCAAAATGATACAGTTTACTCAGATGTTGACTCTTTATAAATGTTTTGGATTTTTTTAAGTTTTGAACAAAAAATCAGTTTTGTTTATAAAGAAAAATTGAGAACAGATAAAAACTGAAAGTATTAAAGAACTGTATGTCTTCCTGAGTACATCAGTGATATGTTTAAATCTGGGAAAAGGAACTCCGGCAGAACAGCAAAAACCCCAAACTATTGAGGGTTGCCTTATACTTGTGTTTTCTGAATAAATAAATGAAGAAAGGAAGGGAAGGAAGAAGGGAGAAAGGCTGTATAGAAAATTAGAATCAGAAGGGAGTTTATATAGTAGGAGTAAATGACATGATTAAGAAACTGGTCTTGTTGAGATTTGGAAAACCAATATATTGTGGGTAAGAAATGATTAGGAACTTGCTTCCAAAAAAGATAATGTTGAAGTGTGTGATATCAGACAGGAAATATTTTAGGATAATAAATAGGTCCTGGAAATGTGGAGGTAAATGTTATTGGAGATTTTTTAAGTAAAAAGAAATAGTGTAAAAGAATGGGCTAGCATTTGAGTGGGTTAACACTTTACACAAAGAATTTACTAAAAATGGGCCTGGTGTGGTGGCTCATGCCTGTAATCCCAGTACTTTAGGAATCTGAGGCAGGAGGACTGCCTGAGGCCAGGAGTTTGAGACCAGCCTGGGTAACATAGTGAGAATTCATTTCTACAAAATAATCAAAAAAATTAGCTGGGCCTGGTGGCACATGCCTGTAGTACCAGGTACTTGGGAGGCTGAGGAGGAAGGATCACCTGAGCTCAGGAGGCTGAGTCTGCGGTGAGCTTCAATCACTCCTGCCTGGGCAACAGAATGAGACTCTGACTAAAAAAAAAAATTTTTTTTTAAATCAAGAATGACAATGAAATGAAGAATAAATAAGAAAACAGAACCAGGTACCAAAGTTAGTTCACTAATGAGACTAAGTGCCCTCATTCTTCCTGTATTAAAAAGAAAGTATATATTAGGGAAAATGGGAAAATTATTGAAATACTTGTATTAAGTTTATTTTTGAAAGTGAGTCAGTATTTTTTGAGCAGCACTTATATGCCAAGTAGTGTTTAGAGTGATCATTTAAAAATTGTTCAGTTATAATATTTTATATGGTCTTAAGCCCCTTCCTTATTGATTCCTCCATTAAATTGTTTTTCCTAATGTAATAATAAATATCATTTGGGAGACATTGGAACTTGGAACAATAATCTTTTTCTTTTTCTTTTTTTTTTTTTGAGTTGGAGTCTCACTCTGTCGCCCAGGCTGGAGTGCAATAGCATGCTTTCGGCCACCACAGCCTTGACCTGCTGGGCTCAAGTGATCCTTCCACTTCAGCCTTCCAAGTAGTTGGAAGGAACATTAATTTTTAAATTTCCATCCTTCAGTAACCTTGGGCTTTTAAATATCACCTACTTGACATAGCTAATTACCACAGTGCAAAATGCTTTCATTGCATTTGACACACTTCCTAATTTGTTCTGATAATAGAAGTAATGTCAGGGCAGGAAAACCCTTAATTAAAATGAAACTTTATGAAACGTGAATGAAATGAATAAAAATGTATATTATCTTTCAACAAAAAATTGATAAACTGTTCATATGAATGCAATCTCTTTTTTAGTATTGGTAAAATTGACATTATAACTTGAAACTAAATATTTCCAAACTAAAAAAAAAAAAAGTTAATTTCATCCCAAAACACTCCTACAGTTACACCCAGAATAATGTTTGACCAAATATTTGGGCACCTGGTCAAGTTGCCATACAAAATTAGCCATCACAGGTAATATGTTCTTCCCATGCCTGCAACTTTCGTTTCTGAGAGTCTAGAGGTCTTGACTCATCTTGATTATCATGAGAAGGTCGGACTGTTGCTATATAATAGGGCAGAGAGAAATGTGTTTGGCACTTAGGTTCCATATTTCCTTGAAGAGAGCTTGGTGCATGGATTTGAGTGCAGAACATTTACTAATAGACGACTCCTTGGGAAAATGTGTAAGGAAAGGCGTGAAATAGGATAGGAATAGGGGAAGAGCCATGCAAGGATGTGAACTCGTGTGAAGCCTGGTATTATCACAGGGTAGGGCTATGACACATAAGCCACAACACAAAGTTGTTTCCCCTTGATTGAGAGGCTGGCCTTTTATACCTTTTATCATCAGTCAGTTATCAGCTGTGGAGTACTGGGGATTGTGGGTAGGCATAAATTTCTGCATGGGTGGCTCTAGTCCCCTGGCACAATTCTTTAAAGGACAGGGCTGCTGTGAGCTATTAATAGATAGCTGGAGAGGGGGCACTGGTCCAGGAAAGGGGACCTGGGTGAGACATCAGAACTGTGTCCACCACAAGTGCATAACAACGTATGAAACTCAGAGACTAGATAGCAACTCTTATGCCAGGTCTATGAGAACACAGGTTGGGCTGTGAGTACTGGAAGGCAGAGTGGGGATAGGCCTCCCTGCCATCTGGCAGCCCTGGCCTGCTGAGTGCAGCATAAGGGTGATGCCCTACTTGGCTTTGAATACACGGGAACATAGGATACATATTAGAGAATAGTTAACAGTCTCATTTTGAGGAAGAGCATCGTAGGGGAGATAGATGGACATTAGCAAGCACTCCCTAAAATAACATTCGTGACTTAGAAATACCCCAGACATAAAAATAGCAGGTTTGCATACAACTGCCAACTGCCACCAATTCCAAATCTACCAATTACCTGGCACAACTCTGGAGGGTCATTAAGCTATACTGATGGCACTATTGTTTACCAGTACAAAATCTTTTTTCTCCTATTCATTCCTGTTCTGGCTTCACTTACTGTCCACATAATAGTTAATTTGTTTTAGGAATTTTCTTCATAGGTATACCCTTCTTTTCTCTCTTGGCCATCTTCTTTTTCTGCCTGTTCCCTTTTCTGCACCCTCCACAAAAAGTACTTGTCAGGGAGCACTGGAAATAGTTCAGACCTGAAGATGTCATCAGAAAGTGCAAAGATACTTCACACAAGATTAATTGCCTTATACATAGTGATCGTCTTCCTTCCTCCCTCCCTCCCTCCCTTTTTTCAGTCAGAGTCTCCCTCTGTTGCCCAGGCTACAGTGCAGTGGTACGATCTTGGCCATTACCACAGCCTCGACCTGCTGGGCTCAGGTGATCATTTGGCTTCAGCCTTCCAAGTAGCTGGGACTACAGGTGTAGGCCATCATGCCTGGCTAATTTTTTTATTTACTGTACAGATGAGGTTTCCCATGTTGCTCATGCTGGTCTCAAACTCCTGAGCTCAGGCAATCCTCTTGCCTTGGCCTCTCAAAGTGCTGAGATTACAGGCATGAGCCACCGCACTCAGCATAGTGATGGCTCTTGACCCATTCTACCTCTCAGTTGTAAGAACTTCTTTAATTCCTATACAGTTCTTGACTGCACACAGTGAGAAAATGCCACCACTTTTAAGCATCCTGAGGTAAATAACAAGGAGTAGTCAAGGTGATTCTCATTCTTTATTCTTAGCCTCTGATCTGGTTTCTGCCTCTGCTGACCTGGCCTTTGCCACATGGCTACCTTAAAAAACTTTACAATTTTTTCCCAGAAGCTCAGCATAGAGTCAGCCCTTGAGCAGTCTGAGTTATGGGCTAATCTTGACTCTAAGTTATTCTTACCTGGGAAAAGTCTAATCATTTAGGGCCCACAGAGCTTAAATTTAAGAAAGCATGCTTTATTGGCATTACCTCTTGAAATTGCAGACCTTACTCCTAGAAAGAGGAGAAATGTCTTCTGAAATTTTAACTTTGACAATTCAATCCTATAAAATAACTAAATCAATCCTATGCATGGATAATGATTTTACATTACCTTTATTTTGACATTTAAAAAAATCTAAAATCTGATTTATAATCAAATATGCTTCAGTTTACCATGAAGGTAAGCCTACTTTCCTTTATTAGTTCTTCATATTCTTCAGAGCTAGCCTGGTCTCAGATCCACTTTCAGAAGTTCCCAAAGGAGTCCTCTTTGAGTTGGAATTCAGGGTAAGGATAGCTTAGGAGGCGATTTTAGGAAAACGGAGAAAGAGTATGATGAGGTGATTGGAGGGAGAAACAGGAGGGAGGTTTCCTGGCCCATTTCCCAGCCTTGATCTTCTCTCAGGTGAACAGCATCATGGTGGTGACCCTTAACAAAATGGCATTAATAATAGAAATAAATACTAAAATACTGGTATTATTATTTTGCTCCTGTATTGCAGTCTCTACATAGACTGAAACAATTACTTATTCAGCCTCAGGAAATGTGACTGTAGCTACTAAAACCTGTATTTTGGTAAAGGTGTGGAGGACTGGGAATTGGTAAAGCAATTTATTTGTACTCAAGCTGCCTTCTGATTTTCGACTCACCTCTCTGCTGCCCATCCCAATAAACACAAAAGGCTTTATTTACTGAATTTTCGGTAAAGAGACATTTTGTAAAGGTTTCAGGAATTCATTTTAATGTTATCAGCATTTTAAAGATGTATACAGACATCAATACTAGGTGATTGCTCTTATTTTGTAACTGTGAATTAAAAATATAATTAAAGCACAATTTTCATACTGCCAATAATTAGAAGTGATATATTTAATTATGCCCAAATGTTCTTTTGGCTTATGTTGATAGTTTCCAGGTGGAGCTACTGTGATAGGACATCAGATGTTTGACTTCAGTTGTGTGTGGAGATGGTGCATTAAAATTTAGTAACATGTGAAATCTATTCAATTGAGCCATTTCAAAAGAACTGTTTCATCAGTCTCTTCTAATAGGCACCAGCATGTCCATTTTCCACCTGTTGTTTCTTATAAATCTATAACAAATTTAATAAATAACCATGTTGTCACATTTTCTCTGTTTTTCTGTTAGTACAAATGCTTGCAAGACATATCACTAATTATGAACAGAAATTGTTATCACTATTATTAACCAGTATTTAATAAGTGTTTATGTTCTACAGAACTTAGATCTAGATAACTGCTGATAACATTAAGACCCCCCTATTAGCCGGGCTCATTGGCTCAGTCTGTAATCCTGCACTTTGGGAGGCTGAGGTGAGTGGATTGCCAGAGCCCATGGGTTCAAGACCTGCCCGGGCAACTTGGCGAGACCTCATCTCTACAATAAATAAAAAAATCAGCTGGGCATGGTAGTGCGTGCTTGTAATTCCAGCTACTTGGAAGGCTGAGGCGGAAGGATCGCCGGAGCCCAGCAGGTCGAGGCTGCAGTGGCCAGGAACGGCCACTGCACTCCAGTCTGGGCAACAGAGTGAGACTCCAACTCAAAAAAAACACAAAAAAACACAAAAAAACCCCTATTGTAAGATAATTTTTGTTTATCTTGTACTTTTAAATCCTATCTGTCTTTTTAGGAGAGTTTTAATCTCATTTTGTAGATTTTTTAAAAACTTCACCTTAGCTTTGCCAGAATGTCTTCCTCCAATGGAATATATACTGATTTTTTTTTTCTTATTGTTGTTTAATTTCTCCTACATCATCAATTGCCTATTGACTTGGAATTCATACAGGCCATAGAAAAATCCAGTCCTACTGTGTCAAATCTTCAAATATTTCAGTCTTAGCCACTCATCAAGAACTTTCCAACGTGTGTCTTATTGATCTGCTTGCTCTAGGCTGACATTTTCTGAGGAGGCTGGGGATGTGATCTGTAATTATGGGGAGCAAGATACTTATAACAAGTCCAAGTGCCTGGCTTTAGCTCAGATTATCTACAGTGAATGTGGCCTGCACAAGAAAACTCTTCTTTGCCTGTGTAAACAGGGTCAGATTCATGAGGCCATGGAATACCTACAGCAATTCAGGGACTTTACTTCTGGTAAGTAAAGAAGCCTGCTTATTTATATGTATTCAAATTCTGGACTTTAATTGTAAGATCATCCATAATAGCAGGCAATAGTTTAAACTTATGTTATAAAATCAATTTTATATATACTGATAAGTAGGAGATTTCTTTTGTAACTTCTCTTGAAAATAGTTAGGCTGGAGCTGATTGACTTTCATGCTAGATGTTCAAATACATTGTATATTTCCTCAAAAAACAAACATTTATTAAACTGGATAGTCCTGGAACTATACAGAATAAAGATAAATTTAGCAGATATGCTACAGCATGTTCATAAAGGTTTTTTAAAATTAACTTATTTGTCATATATAATTTTCTGTGCTGTAATATATAAGCATTAGAAATGAAGAATTAGGGAAGTAATGTTTACTTAAAATTTTTGAAACACCCAGGTTACAATTGGGCAGTGATTCAAGAAAACTGGACCTTAGGGTGACCCTAGTTGAATGAGTAGATTTTTTACTGTGACTCTAGTTTTTCAGGGATCTTAACTAATGTACAAGCATTCCTGACACCTCCCTGCCCCCAGCCAGTGCAAATCCTGATTTGCAGGCTACGGATCTCAGTCCTAAGAAGAAGCAAGATGGAACCACACATAGCAATTTTAGGTCATATTATTCCAGTAAAAAGGATCTGTTGAATCTGATCATTTTCAAGCAATAAGTTGGCTTTTTCTTGGAATATATGTATATTTAAAAGTTACTAATTCCAGGCCATTGCTTTGTTAAACTCTGCTGTCTCCACATGGCTCTTTGAGCTATGGCCACCATATTTTCTTAGCTTTGGCCTCCTCCTCTACTTTGGGGAGGTGACTACTCCTCCCTCCCTCTCTCTTTTTCTAATTTACTTTCTAAACAAACTTTGCTCAAAAACTTAAAAAATAAAGTTATTAATTCCTTCATTCATTAATAACAGTGTATCTGATACTATTATTGTAATAATAGCTAATAGCTAAGCTTTTTACATACATTATATCACTTTATCCTCATATTGACTCTACGAAATAGGTTTTGCTATTATTATCCATACTTTATAGCTGAAAAAAACTGTTTCCACAGAAAGACTAAGTCACAGAGAGGTAAGTGATTTACCTTTGGTTGCACGGCAATGAAAAAGAATCTGGTATAGTAGATACTACTCAATTAATATTTGAGTAAATTACATATTTTATCTAAGTATAGAGATTCAGTTTCTGTGTTAAATATAATTTTCATATGTAAGAATTATATTAGTGTTTAGACATAAAGCAAATGTTTTAATTACTCTTGGAATTTTTCTTTTTAATTTTAGAGATGGGGGTCTCACTATGTTGCCTGGGCTTGCGTAAAGTGGCTATTAACAGTGCACATAGTATTATAGTGCACTACAGCCTCGAACTTCTCTACTTTACCAGAAGTAAAGTCCTTGAATTGCTGTTTGTATTCCATGGCCTCATGAATCTGACCCTGCTTACACAGGCAAAGAAGAGATTGGGCTCTAACAATCTTCCCAGTTCAGCCTCCAAGTTGCTGGGACTGCAGGCACATGTGAAGTTACTTTTTTTCGAGTTGGAGTCTCACTCCGTCGCCCAGGCTGGAGTGCAGTGGCACACTCAGGGCCACCGCAGCCTCAACCTGCCGGGCTCAGGTGATCCTTCCACCTCAGCCTTCCATATAGCCAGAACTACAAGTGCATGCTACCACGCCTGACTAGTTTTTTGATTTATTGTAGAGACGAGGTCTCACCATGTTGCCCAGGCTGGTCTCAAACCTGCAGGCTCAGGCAATTCTCCCGCCTCAGCCTCCCAAAATGCTAAGATTACAAACTTGAGCCACCGCGCCTAGCCAGAAGTTTCTTTTTTGATTGTAAGATTTACCTTACATAAGTGCATAGAATCATGATCAGCTCACTATCATATTATTCTGTTCCTCTAATAGTGTATTATACTTTTCAATCATTAAATGTATATTGTAATAATTTAAGAAGTAACTTTTTTATATACCTTTTTTGGCTTTTTCTTTCTTTTTTTGAGTTGGAGTCTCATTCTGTCCCACAGGCTAGAGTGTAGAAGCACGGTCACAACTCACTGCAGCCTTGAACTCCTTGGCTCAGACGATCCTTCTGCCTCAGACTCTAGAGTAGCTAGAACTACAGATGTGGGCCACTATGCCCAGCTACTTCTTTTTAATTAATTAATTAATTATTTTTGTAGAGAAGAGGTCTTGCTATGCTGCCCAGGCTGGTTTCGACTCCTGGCCTCAGCCTCCCAAAGTGCTGGGATTATAGGAATGAGCCACTGCACCTGGCTGACTTTCCTGTGTACTTTGAACTTTGATATATATACTCAGAATTTATTTAGCACAGCATCATAAGGTAAAAATGATAATAACCTGAAAAAAATTTAGCTTAAAAGGTAAAAAAGTTTGAAAAATCATTTTGTTTACATTTTAATGAGGAACACAACCACAGCTTCCCAAGGTATAATTTTGACCTTGGGAGACAGATTCTATTTGTTAATACTTTCTGGTTTTAAGAAGAAACCAGATTTAGACTATTAGTTTTACACTTACAAATTTTAAAAAACACTAAAAATAAGTAGAACAAAACAAAAAACAGAAACATCTTTAAAAATTCTTTGGTTCCAAGAGCATAAATCTGACTTGTTTTAGGAGTAATGATTGTTTTTTTCCCCTCCTAATAATTTCTAGAATAAAAGCTGAAATGACTTGCTTGCTAACCTTCCCCATTATTATTAAATAAGTGGATATACTAAGCACCTGTCTCGAAACTGGGTTCTTCTAGATCAGAGTCTCTCAAACTGTTTGGTCTCAGGTCTTCCTTAGACTCTTAAAAAGCACTTGAGAATCCCAAAGGGCATTTATCTATGTGGGTCATATCTATTGATATTTATCCTATCACAAATTAAAACAGAAACTTTAAAAATATTTATTAATTCACTTAAAACAACAATAATAAACCCCATTACATGTTATCATAAATAAAATATTTTCATGAAAAATGATTATATTTTTCCAAACCTAACAATTAGGTACAAAAAGTGACTTTTTAAAATATTTGAGGCAACCCCTTCGGGTCCCCTCCTACTGTGGGGGCTTTTCTGTATTCCCAATAAATCCTGCTTTCTAATAATTAAATAAATAAACAAAATATTTGTACACATCTCTGTAGTGCTTGGTTTAACTGAAGATAGTTGGCTTCTTGTATCTGTTCTATAGTTATTGCGTTGTAACATCACATATCTTGTAGCCTTTGGGAAACATTGCTATATAGCTATGAGAGAATGAGAGTCAAAAAAGCAAATAACAACTTAGTATTTTTATTTATTTTATTTTATTTTATTTTTTATTTTTTGAGTTGGAGTCTCACTCTGTCACCCAGACTGGAGTGCAGTTGCCGCTCCCGGCCACTGCAGCCTTGACCTGCTGGGCTCTGGCGATCCTTCCACCTCAGCCTTCCAAGTAGCTGGAATTACAGGCGCATACTACCATGCCCAGCTAATTTTTTGATTTATTGTAGAGATGAGGTCTTGCCAAGTTGCCCAGGAGGGTCTCGAACCCGCGGGCTCAGGCAATCCATTCACCTCAGCCTCCCAAAGCGCGGGATTACAGGCTGAGCCCGGCTACAACTTAGTATTTTTATAAAAGTAGTTTTGACTTTATAGACTCTAGGCCATATTTTGAGAACCATTTTTCTAGATAGTTGTGAGTTAAACAGATACTCTACTTGATATATAGGCCCTTACAATCTTATTAAAAGAGAACACACACGAGATAAAATAATGATTAATAGCATGGAATTTTTAAAATGATAAGAAATGATAACAAGGAATAAGAAAATGGATTCTGAAGTGTAATAAACAGGAGGACTATAAGATGAATTTATGTCCTTTCTAATTAGAGACCATATTTTGCATATAACTGAGTAATATTGGTTAATTACCCAACTTATTGAGAAGGGGGCTTGAATATCTGATTGAACAATATAGAGATGAATGAGTTATGAAAGTGTAGAGGCTCAGGTATACTATATGAATAAGTTTCACCCTGGTGAAGGACAGTTTGAGTGACACAAATCATAAACTTTTACCTCTTCTCTAGGGAAATATTTTCCTTTTTTTTTCTTTTTCTTTTTTTTTTTTTTGAGTTGGAGTCTCACTCCTTCGCCCAGGCAGGAGTGCAGTGGCACGCACGCTCACGGCCACCCCAGTGTCGACCTTCTGGGCTCCAGTGATCCTTCTGCCTCAGCCTTCTGAGTAGCCAGAACTACAGATGTGCGCTACCATGCTCGGTTATCTTTATTTTACTGTAGAGACGAGGTCTCTCCGAGTTCCCCGGGCTGGTCTCGAAACCGTGGGGTCAGGCAATCCACTCGCCTCGGCCTCCCAAAGTGCTGGGATTACAGGCCGAGCCACCGAACCTGGCTGGGAAATATTTTCTTGTTTGTTAGTTTTTTAATTGTTTGACTTCATTGATAATTCATAGAATTATATCCCGCTATTCCTTTTTCCTTCTCTTATCATTTATCTCTCTCTGTATGTATGTGTGTATGCATAAGCATATACACACACACATACATACATATCATATGTATATATACACATACACATATATACTATATACACATTCTATCTATCAATTTTTGAGGGTTAGCACTGTAGATTGGGAAGGGCATGAACTTTGGGGGTCAGATAGACTATTCTGCTTTATACCATATATATAATTCAGGGAAAATTAACTTCTCTAAGCCGGTTTCTGCACTTATAGTATGAGAGTAATAATATCTCACTAACTCTGAATATTAAATGCATGAAATTAATATATGTAAGCTCCCAGCACAATAAATATGTATCTGATAAACATTGAATTATCTTGTATTGCCTTGCAGAGTTCAAATTATGTTTATAGTATTTCTTGAAAGGCCCTCAGAAATTATTCTGAAAATTGCCTCTATTGTGGCCCAAGAATAATATTTTTACTTTAAAAAGTTTAGGAAGTGAACATAAAGTTTATAAATAATAAGAATGCAGAGCTGGGCACAGTGGTGTATACCTGTAGTCCCAGCTACCAGAGAGGCTGAGGCAGGATTACTTGAGCTCAAGAGTTCAAGGCTTTAGTGAGCTATGGTGGCACCTGTGAATATGCACTGTACCTGGACAACACAGTGAGACTGCCTCTAAAAAAAAAAATTAAGAATACAAATCATCATTGTAGCATTAGATTACCTCGGTGTTTAACTAGTATATTGAACCATATGAAATTGCTCTTTTGGGGGGGTGTCAATGTAAGGGAACTCTACATGGCTTAGTTTCTAACCACTTAAAATAGCTAATGAACTGGGCTTGGTGGCTCAGCCTATAATCCCAGTGCTTTGGGAGGCTGAGGTGAGTGGATTGCCTGAGCCCGCGGGTTCAAGACCTGCCTGGGCAACTTGATGAGACCTCATCTCTACAATAAATCAAAAATTAGCAGGGTGTGGTAGCGCGCACCTGTAGTTCCAGCTACTTGGAAGGCTGAGGCGGAAGGATTGCTGGAGCCCAGCAGGTCAAGGCTGCGGTGGCTGGGAGCGGCCACTGCCCTCCAGTCTGGGCAACAGAGTGAGACTCCGACTCAAAAAATAAAAATAAAATAAAAAATAATAAAATAAAATAGCTAATGGTCTTAAGATCTTCATTTTTGAATTGCTAAGTAATTTACATTTTAAGGAAAAAAATTACTCAACCCCTTTTTCTGTATAAGGCACAAAAAGAAAGACATTATGTTCACTTGGATTTGGTTCACATATGAGTAACAAGATATAGTCAAACATAATGTAGTATTAGATGGAACTTTAGAAACTATCTCCAATTCTGTTGCTTTTCCCATGTGAAAACTGAGTTCCAAAAGACTGATTGATGGAGCTATATTTAGAATTTAAGTTTCCTGATTGCCAATCTATATTCTTTTTATTATGACACATTTCTTTTTATTATCATTATTTGAACATTTTGGGGGTACTCTTTTGATATGGGTAGTTTTCCTTTGTTTTTTGCTATGCTGAGTGTATGTGTTTTTTTTTTTTTTTTTTTTTTAATTGGGGATTGTACTTTTGAGTTTGGTTGAGAGTAGGTCATTGAGGCCTTTGAAAGGACTGAAAAAAGAAGTGTTGATTGTCAGGTACTGAAATTAGCTAGTCTCAGTTTCTAGCTGATTTATCATGTTAAGATGTTGAGATAAAGCTTTCATGTTTGCTTTCAGATGACCTGTTGCAGCTAATCACATTGTGTCCTCAAATTGAATTAATTCAATGTCTCACCAAAGAATGGAATGGGAAACTACCATCTTTATCTTTTGGTCTTGCCATACTTCATCTATTCTCTGTAGATCTGAAAAAAGTTGGCATTAAGCTACTTCAAGAAATAAATAAAGGTGGGAAAGGTAAGTAGAATAAAATGTTGTAGAAGAAATAGTGGGTTATTGAAGAAAAGGTTCAAGATAATAATGTATGTGTCAACTCACATTTCCCTTAGAGTTTCTTCTTAGCAAGAGTTGACTTTAGGAGTTTATAAATTGTAAAGATTACCATATTAATAATAATCTCCTGGAAATAGTATATATTTCTTGATGTAATTGGAATGAAGAGAATCTTTATGAAACCTGAGGTTAATGTTATAATAATTACAATAGCTAACACTATTCTAAAAACTTTATATATAGGTATATACGTATATTTAGCAATCTTTTGGTATGTACTTTAAATGTTGTTTAGACATAAGCTTTATATATTTTAATTCCTAAGCCAAATAAGTGCATATTTTCATATGATATTCACTCCACACCTAACACCTAACTCTGCAGTGGAATCAAGAATAACTAATTAGCCGGGCTTGGTGGCTCAGCCTGTAATCCTGCGCCTTTGGGAGGCTGAGGTGAGTGGA